ATGCACATAGATTTGCAAATCCCTCTCCATTTTCGTTTCTCTCACCCAGTCCATGTCGTCCCATAATATCTTCATATCCGGTGTTGTCTATCCCGACTTTGGCATTTAAATCTCCCATCAGAATGGTGAGGTCTTTTCTTGGGCATTTCTCTATGATTGACTGTAGCCTCTCATAGAACTGATCTTTGATGTCGTCGTTGCTATCATTGGTGTATGCATAACATTGAGTAATATTCATTAAGATCCCCTCCTTCTTTGTTTTGAATAATGCTTTGATGATTCAGGATCCGTGAGATTCCCAACCTACAAGTGCATTTTGTGCTACATTGGACAGCATTAGAGCAACTTCCTGAGTGTGTGGAGCATTTTCCTCTTCGTGACCGGAGTATAGCAGCATCTCTCCCGTATTTAGTCTTTGTTGTCCAGCTTGGGTCCAATGGGTTTCGCCGATTCCCAGTACTGCCAATTTGTATCTCCTCATTTCCGTTGCCATTTGACTGTTCTTCCCGGTCTCCCACATTGTTCGAACGTTCCACGTACCTAGAAAACGTTTTGCTCTGGTTGTTAGAAGGGGCATCGGCCTCGTGAATTTCGAAGGAACTCGACTTTCACCATGAGGCGTCATAATTCTTCTAAATGAAGACCTTCAAACTCCCAGGACAGAGTTAAAATGGTTTGAATTATTTTTTTCTGGTAAGCGTTTTTTTAGCGAGTTAGTTTTCCACGGGATGGGGTCGCTAACCCCATGCCCAAGCCTCCTACTTCATCCGGTCTTGGGACCGGTAGTAACTCTAGAAGATCTACAGGCGGAGTTATGATTGGACATACAACTGACAATTGGAGGGGATTCAGAATTGAGCTGAAAGTATTTCATTATGTGTGGTCATAAAATATAGTGCTAAAAACAGTTATTGTGATATACAATTGACCATCTACTTTTTTTATTATGGTTGTGGTGGTTTTCAAAGTTTCAGCTCCGTACAGTAGAACTGTCTTGACGTTCGTATTGAAGATTGTGACTTCGGTTTTGGCTTGCAGAGAGTTCTTTTGGGTTTTATATGTTCTCATCTCCTAGAACTGCTAGACAGCTTGGACCAAACGCTTTTCAAAATATCTATAGGTTTCTAGATATACCTTCGAACCTCTTCACTTCTGACTTCTGATTTGACTGGGTTGAAATACTCTGTTTATAAAAGGTATTGCGAGTGAAGATGTCATACTCTGAATACTTGTAGCATACTTACGTTTGTGACTTGCTTTATGACTTGCATCTCGGTCGTTATGGTGACTGACATGGCGGGAAGAAAGGTCAGAATTCGATTGATTTATTTAATATGATTCTTAATGTAGAACCCGTTTTGAATATTTGGTGTGTGTGTGTGAAAATCCCTCCATGTATATACTTGCACTTTGTTTCCATTGATCCCCTTAGTTGTATGTTGCTAGTTTTTTTATTACATTTGAATTGCTAATATTTGTATTTTTTATCATAGTTTTTATTTTTATTACGCCTTCACTAAGTTTTTGTGTTTCTTCCCGAACTGCATCTATGTTGTTTTACTTGACACTTATTCTTGGCGGCAGCCATATTGATTTCCCCCCCTTTTGTGTGTGTTTTATCCAGTCAGGATAGGATAGCGTTCATTTGTTGTGACTGGTAATTTTCCTGCGTCTTTTATCAACTTCTTTATTTATTGTAATTTAGATTTAATTGATTGAACAATTATTGGTTGAGTAGCCGGGTGGTAATATTTGTTTAGGTAACAATTTACATTTAAATTTATGATGAATTATAGAACCGCTATTTACCCGCTATGGATGAGCAAACCGCAACTCGGGATCACTACAATGAAGTTCTGGGAGCCGGACTTTCGTAGCTATAACAGCGTCTATCCCTATTGGTGACAAAAATCACTCATGGCTTTCGTCTGACATTCTTCTACACTGAACAACATCGCACGTTGAGGTAGGCGGTAGTTGAGCACTTATAACACTTGTCCAAACCGCCTCAGTCGATGAAGATTTTCTACCTTGTCAGCTTATTCGTCATTGGTACATGGCATCTTAACCCTATCCTAGGTATTGCTTACTCAGTGGTATCAAAATACACGAGCTATGCCTCGAAGACAATTAAAATCAAATACTAGTAACCCATGAATATTATCTGTTTATAGCGTCCATTTTTCATACTCAGAAAGCAGAATGGAATGAAGTGTTGCACAGTAAACTCACTCTTTGGTTTTTGGGTGGATACCTCGCCTAAACCAAAAATGAGGCAAGTTTTTTATAATCGGCGTCAAAATTTAATCGGACACCAACCATCCGGGATTTGTGAGACTCGCGAGATGAATGTGATTGACACACTCAACTACTCCATTCCCTATCGTGAGTTTAGGTGTTGACGAAGACCAGTCTTGGGGCAAAATTTTGCATTTGGGGTGAGGGATTCTCATACCGAAAATGCTTGGGCTGTCGTTCAAGGAAATCAGAAGACTAAACTTTTCCGGTGTTTTAACCAGACTGTACTATATTATCTGCCCATTTCAAGTCAGTCAGTAAATCTTTTGGTACAATAACCCCTGAAATATCAGACGATGGGAGCGCTGTCTCCAAAAGTACGTTTGACAAAGTTGTATAGGAGTGGAGAGAAGGGACGGACCTGAAGAACACCACTATATGTCGATAATTCCAATGATAAATCGCCATAAGCTCTAACTTGACTTGTAGTGTTCCAGTGGAGAACCTGTACAGGGTTGATTGGATTATTTGGTACACATTTCAGTAACATACACTTCCATGAAACCTGACAATCTACAGGGTTTGGTGCCGCCTTAATGTCAAGGAATACGACTACAGTTGGATGTTCAGAAAGGATGTCTATGTACAAGAGCCTGGAGAAGGGTGAATCTCTGGTCGATACATCTATATCAAGATCGGAAGCCAGCCTATATTTCTTGTGATTGCACTTCATAGGCGCTAGTTAACCATCGTCGTGTTAATGAAATTAATATTTTAAATAACATACTAGTTAAACCGATTCCTCGAGTTGACACAGGAAGGTTTTTGTTCTTTATTGCAAAGTGAGACGATTAGCTATCGAGGCCAGGCAGATGGGATTGTGATGCCGGTCAATTTAACTGTGAAATATGAACCATCATCCCTAGAGATATTTGGGATTAGTCCATCAAAACCTACTGCTCTCCCTTACTCTAGGTTGCTTGCAATATCTTGAACATCATTAAGAGTTAAGGGACTTACGCCAATTCACTACTCGGGCTGCAGGGAGATTATGAGTATCTGAAGTGTGATTGAATGTCATTTGAGTTGTTCCCTAAAGTGTTCTGCCAATATTTCAATCACATGGACTGGGATTGACTAATAATTTCGCATGTTTTCATAGTCATATTAACAGCCGGATTTCTAATATCCGTCTGGTCGATAAGCCTGAAGAGTAGTTCACTATCACCTTTTGTTGCTACCTCTGCCATCTATTTTTCTTTCGTTAACAATCACTCCCCACATCCATTGCGTAGGCTTTCTAATTAGCCTACACTTAAGTTGCTTTCGCCCCTTATCGTGTTCGGAGCAAGACGGGATGGATTTCCAATCATCTATCACTTTGGTATATGCGTATGTTTTTATTAACGGTTAGTAGAGATACAAGGTAGAATCACTACTGCATGCGTCTGTCCATGGGACGCAGCTGATTAATGCACGTTTATTGTCCTTTGGCGAGGATCAACTGATTGTTCGACAGTCAGCGACCTGTTTGCCAAATGATTTAGCCGGAACCTAGGGGTTTTACTGATCCCACACTTTGGGTACTAGAATTTAATGCCTAACGAATGCAAATGGTGGGTTTGCTAAGGGTTGTCCATGGTCACGTATATTGGCTGTCGTTAAAATGGCCAAATTCTTATGGATTAAATAAACAGTTGTGTAATGAACAAACACAAACTTTCAAGCATTTCGAGCGTTCTTTCAAAAGCGTCATATTTAAGCTCCAATGTAAATAGATCTCAAAAGTAATTGGGAAGAACTTGATCATTATGAGTTATTTGTAAGTACTCCAAAAATGTCAGCTTCTGAAAGCGTAGAATTGTTGAAGTGGACTGAAATCCTTAGAATTGGTTTATTTATACTACCTAACTACAAGTCTTAATCCTGGAGTACGGTTGACTGGAAAGATATAATTGGGTGATCTATATAGTATTAAGTTGAAGACATACTACCCAATAACTTCCTATTCTGCCCCACCCTAACACGGCGGTCGAAAGATTTTTCATCTCTGGTGCAATTCAGGTGACGAATTAAATCATATCAGGCAGAGATCGATTTAAGCCTAGTGGGAAAGAAAGCGTGATATAGACCGTTTTGCAACCATACTGCTTCATGTTTCGATCACATTTATCCAGTTATTCAACCTACGCAGGTTAATATTGACCTTTTTAAGCTGTGATACCCGGTTCCTAGCCAAGTGACCGGTTTCAAAAATTGGTATTTATAAATTCACCTATACTGTTAGATCACTAAGGTGCAGGTTTAAGTTATCGGAGATGTCACGGATATTCAGGGTCTGACAAAGCTCTTGTCCGTAACACATTTATAATCATAAGATCCCAAACTCAGTTAAATCACAAGTCAGTAGTGAACGAGTTTGAAGATACACTTGGAATGTATTCGATATGTCATGGGCATTGATCACATCTGGCTTTTAATTGCGATGATTGCCTTGCACAGTGTGTCCAGTGGTGTTCTGGTGAAGATGCATGACCAAAGCCTTCAGCCAGGGTTTGTTCAATAAAACTAATGAGATCAATATTGATGTCAAAGACTTGCAGAGCTGTTGACTTAGGGATGTATTTACCCCTACAGTGTCATCAAGAATATCTATTGTCACATTGAACGATTTATTGGATGTATAAAGCGTAGAAACAAACTGAGTAATAAAAGAAAAGTATTTTTTGTGTTACTAAAAATTCTGTTTGTAATTGGATTTCGATCATCTGTATAACCTCGTTTAAAAGTACACTTCGTAATTTGAGGCGGTCAACACTAAAAACTGACGCAGGATGACCACTGAAAATGGTATGTTAAGTGATCATGTCCTCTTACGACTATCCTTTTAGGTGAGATTCGCCGTCCAACTATTGCTGATCGTGAGGATGAATATCGTTCGCGTCGTCGATTGCTGATGATTTCTCCAGCAAGAGTAGACCCGTTCGCTGACGGTATGTATACAAACAGCGTTTTTATTGTTTATCAGCATTTATCCTTAAGTTATTACCCCATCTAAGAACGAATTTTTCTTTTTTGTATAGCGATGTGGTGTCCAGCGGGGCTTATTTTTTGTGTAAGGTTAGGGCGTTTGGTAAGTGCATATGATTAGGTGATTGTTTAGTTCTTATACATTCTACGCAATCCAAACTCTTTTACAGCGATTTCGCATCATTCAACCTTGAAGCAATCTCTTGGTTCGGAAACGATGGCCCGGGATAAACCCATCACGTGCGTCATTTTTTTTATGATGTTAAATTATTTGTATAGTTCTCTAATGCCTAATTTGTCTTTGCTTCTTTTTATTTATATTTATTTCTGCGCACCACTGACAAATAATTTGATGAATTGGCGTTTGTAGGCGACCAAACACCGGATCACCGTCTATCAACGTACAAAGATATCATGCTTAATCAGCAACTCACCAAGGAACAACGAGCATTGCAGGCAGAGATAGCCGAAAGAGGTAAGACTGGGACGCTACGAATGGACTCAGAAGTTCCCACGAAAAGACGTAGATGGGATCAGCCTACCACAGATGTCAACGGGACTAAGAATGACGCACCAACTCCTGCTGCTACTCCATCAACTCCTTCGAAGCGTTGGGGAGATGACGCACTCACTCCTTCACGTCCACCCTCTACACTTACAGGAGCCTCAACCCCTGGAAGCCGGTCACAGTGGGATGACACTCCCGGGAGAGCAAAAGACCCTGGCGCAACCCCTGGACAAAGCGTTAGGCAATGGTCAGAAACTCCCCACTTTGCAGCCACTCCAGGTCGAGAAACAGGAAGTTCTGCATTTGGTGTAAGTATTGAGACCGGTGAATTTCATGCCGCTAACTAATTCCTCGTGCTAATACTTTTAATTTTTTCCCGTTCTAGGGGACACCTAGTGCTAGACGTAACCGTTGGGACGAAACTCCTCACACTGAAAGGTATGGTGCCGATACACCAGGTCATGGTGCTGGATGGGCAGAAACCCCCAGAGCTGATCGAACTCCTGGCGGTGTAGAGTCAATTCAAGACACACCATCTTCAATGGTTTATGGACCAGGCTCCACTCCATCAAGCATTGCTGCTGCGGCCGCACTTGCCGTTAAGCGCAGATCTAGATGGGACGAAACTCCACTAAAAGCAGGATCAACTCCAGGTGGTTTAACACCATCTCAGGTTAGTAGCGGTAATGTATTTCGTCTGTAGACTTCATATTAGTGCAACAAATGATTTTATTTTTACCGTGTACCTTTTCATGTTAAAAATTTCGAATTTAGTGTAGAGCCGCTGACCTTAACAAACAAATAACCTTTTAGTATAATCCAGCTAGCTAAGAGCTTTGGCAAGCAAAAATATCTGCCAACAATAATTTAGTGCTGACTTGTCGCTGATAACTAAAAATATTTCAATATTAGCAACAAATTTATTCAGTAGTACCAAACAATAAGCATTTAAATATCGTGTACGGTACTCCCTGAATTTATCAAGTCAGCCCATCAAATAAACATTTCTGTAGACTTCAAGACATATCTAACAAATCCTAAAATGTTGATTGCCAAGATTAAACAAAGTAAAGAATTAGTTGAATGATTTTCAAACTATTTAAAACAACGACCTACTAAATTATCCTTGAATATTTGGGAATGTATCAGCTATGCATGTTATTGCTTTCTTGTTTCGTGTCCATGATTTCGTTAGGTTTTCGGTCCTAAGTACTCACAGCACCTGTAGGTTGCAGTTTTCAAGAGCACCTTAGTGATTTTTTATTTTATTATGATATAAAGGGTGTATCATCGTAGCATTCACTGTTTCGAGTTGCCAAAAACGTACTGATAAAAGTCGGTTAGGGATAAAACACTGGCGTGTTGTATAAGTTAATAAAACAGCGTGGTCCATAAGTTGGTCTTCTGAACTTCAACGATCATCTATATGTCATTTCTCTCTCAGCATGTCGCAGAAACTAGACAAAGCCGATGCACATATATGATTTAGATCCCTATAATAGGTGTCATCGTTCTTTATGGTTTTGATTTTTAGACTCCGGGCAGCTTCACACCGTCAAGTGCTATGGGTGGGATAACACCAGGAGCAACTCCTGGAGGCTTCAATGCGGCCAGTGCTTTCACTCCTTCCGGAACTACTCCAACAGGTTTACGGGCTATGGCTATGGCCACACCAAATTTCGGGTCTGCTGCCATAACAATACCAGGAGCAGGAATCCCAATGACTCCCGAACAATTACAAGTATATGCTTGGCAGAAGGAGATCGATGATCGAAACAGACCTCTAACTGATGAGGATTTAGATGAGTTGCTGCCTCCAGGTACGAGTTGTTCGGTTTTACTAAGTTATTCACTGAATTTCAACTATTTCTTTCACCAATCTTGTGTTAGTTTGAAAATATGAACTTATTTGTTGCAGATAAAACTTACTAACTTCCTGAGTCCATCATCTCTACCATGCCAAGTATATTTAAGCAACATATAACAAGTTATCATATTTCAGACAAAAAATAAAGTAAATGTGAGCTTTTAAATAGCTAACTGCTACTTTCACACTATGTTGGGTTTTCTAACATAAACCTTTAATTGTTTATCATTGGTTAGACGACAGTCCAACGATTGTTTCTGTTTCTAAACATCATTCGCGGTGGCCTACACATCCTTTAGTTCATGTTCACTAATCTCATACTGTGCATTCTTCGATAAACAATAATGAACGGTTTATGACATGGTTAAAAATAAGGGGGAGTTCTGTCATCTCTACATTTTGACTAGATGGAATTCTAAAGGTTATGCGTGTCATCATATGTCTCAGGATAAAGGCTGTTAGGATTCGTGCTGTTGTGTTTATTGTATTGAGTGTAAATAAAATCGCGTTTTTACCCCAACTTTCTCATTACCTGTTGTTTTTTTAAGGGTTTTGTGATTTGTTCGCAATGTCATCTTTTCGCTCTGTGCGGGGCATATTTGGTGGTGCTTCATTATAAAAAAATATTCCTCCCAAATAATTATGCCAAATAACGACGCCCTTTGTTAGTTGGCGGGTCAGTACTTAAAACATCCCTACCATTTTATTCGGTGCACACTTACAAGTTTGTTTATATATTTGACTTCCTCGAATGACTGCCTTTATTTTTACGCCAGTCACCTGCGATTCCGATAGATCGCGGATTTTTAATTTCTTTTTATCGTATATGAAGTCAAGACCAAACCTATCCAGTCTGTCGGCTATTAATGTTATTCGTTTCAGCGAAATGTATCATTTCAGTTAGCTTCACGACCAGGGATAGTCTCATGTCTGCATTTCATGGAAAATGAGATCTTTACTGCTGTTAACTAACCAACATCAATAACAATCAAGTTGTCATTTTTTCTGCTACAGTTGCACACATAACTGTTGGGTAAACAATTTTGTGTATAAAATTTAATATACTGATTCACTTGTCTCCAGGTTATAAGATCATGCCACCGCCCGCCGGTTACGTCCCAATAAGGACTCCTGCTCATCGATTGGTAGCAACACCAACTCCAATGATTGGAGGGACTCCAATGGGCTTTAGAATCGGCACACCTGATATTGGAACAACAGCTGGGTTTGGTATGAATGCAACTGGAGGTAATGCTGCGGCTCTTGGTGACATGCAACCGAAAGGAGCTAATTTACCCATGATGAGACCTGATGATCTACAGTATTTTGATAAACTGCTACAAGTTAGTTAATCTGAATATTTATTTACAATTTTATTACGCCAGAAATAATTTCTATTCTATTCTTTTTGGAACTATCACTTTTCGTGTAAGTTTAGTTCAAAATCTGAGAAGTATACAAACACCTAACTTGATTGTTCTAAACCATCTTGATGCTTCGACAAAACCTTGTTTCATCATTTTCCAGTGCTTTAATTACTAATGACTGTCCTGAAGCATTCTTAATAGAAGTGTTAATGGTCTTTCTTCCTGTACTATATCCTTATTGCAATCTTTCTTTTATATATTACCACCTCTGAATTAACTACTTTTATGAATCCGGCGTCCATCTCGTTGTGTTAATGAGGTATGGCAACTTGGACCGATGCATATATGTGCCTGGTCCTACGTTGTAGCTGACTGACTGACTGTTAATGGTCGGAAAGTAGGTACGTTCCCTTGAGTACATCTTAACCCAAGGTTTACGGACAATGTCACGTTACGTTGTTTTAGTATACAGGATCCTCAAGCTCCGGTTTGTCAGTAGCATCTATTGTATGCTTTTTGTATTATCTGTGAAGAAATCCTTTTTCAGGATTAGTAAACTATCTTAACAGGTGTAATCCATGTTACATAACTCACTGTTAATTAATTGGAAATTCGTGAATCTATAAACCTGATGTATTCGCAGTCATTTAGACTACCCATACAGAAAAAGTTAATGAATCATCTTTGCAAAACTTTTGATATCTTAACATCTGTCTATCAGAAGTCAAATTTGTTACTTCGATTCATGTAATCTAGACAAATATCTGTCACGCTCAATTGCTCCAGGCTTGAAATTCCGAAAGAATTCCATATGTTCAGATACCACTATCTCTGTAGGACTAATGACCTTCACTTAAAGTGGTTGTTCTGAACCTCTGTGTCATGTTAAATCATGTCGGGAATTGGAATTCATCTGATGTAGTTGTCTTTTAGCACTGACTTTAGTGTTCTAAATACATTCTTAAAATATTACGCATCATTTGATTCATAGATTCACTTGTTCCAACTCGTACATATAGGTCGGTCAGCTGTAGGTGGTTGCATTCATAACGGTAAATGTATTGACTAAATCTTGACTTCGGTAGTTTCTGAGTCACAAGCACACGAAGAGGTATCCTGATGCCAGCCTTGACAGCATTAGTCTATCAAGTCATTTAAGACACTGAACTATCATCAAAATCTCCATGTTTAATTCACTTTCCGTACCAATTTTTGTGTGGGAAGTTTCTTAGTTTTCGTTTTCAGAAGTTTTGCCACTTGTTTAATTAGTGATCTATTATACCTCTTAGCAGGTGGTTTTCTTAGGGGACCACACCCCGAGCCTTTGATCTGAAGGTCTAATCCACAAGGCAGTGGAGCAACGTCAGGAGATGCAGTCCCATAGTAGCCGGTAACCAACAATAGGCCATTTTTACCCTCAGAATCCTGGAGTCCATATGCACAATTGGTTTGGAATCAGGGTTTACCAACTCCCCGGGTCCACTAGCCCGGTTAAACCGCTTCTCTTCCTCTCGATTTCGTAAACAACACTCACCACGAGAGGGTAGTGAGTAGGACTTCCTTTGGAGTGGCTGTATACGCGTGGTCATGTGAGAGCATTTGGAGGTGAATATCAAGTTGCATCTCACTTTCCGTACAAGCTTTTTATTAATTTTTAAAATACATTTTCTCTTTGTTAAAGGATGTCGATGAGGACAGTCTTCCACCCGAGGAGGCACGTGAAAGAAAGATAATGACATTTTTACTCAAGATAAAAAATGGTACTCCTCCAATGCGTAAGTCAGCCCTAAGGCAAATCACTGAGAAAGCAAGGGAATTCGGTGCAGGACCTCTGTTCAAACAAATATTACCCCTTCTGATGTCTCCTACATTAGAAGATCAAGAACGCCATTTGTTAGTGAAGGTAAATTAGACCTCTCAATTATGTCTACAATCTCAGCATTTTTGTTTGTACATCTACACAGTTTCTTAATTGTTTTAAACCTGTTTCATCATTACAAATATTGATTGTCATATTTATTTCTATGCTTTCTTTTCAGTATGCATTTAAAATTGAGCACCACTTTTCAATTCATTAATATCCTATCTGTAGAACTTTATAATACTGCTTTGAATAAAATTACAGGGAAGACAAACACACTATGTAGTGTTTGTTATTCATTTTTGTTCATAAGTCGTATGATTAACCTGAGAAAATCTTGTCAGGTTCGTTTCATGTTCCGAGTTTATCTTACCCAATATTTAATGTGTGTACTAGTGTATACTACATTATTTAAAATAGAATTTGATTAAGGTAGTCATAATAAACTGTATAATGCAAATATAGACTTAGTTGTCTTAACACGGTCCGCGCGGGTAACGAAAACATTCATCTGGCAAGACTATAATTTGTAGTCGAACCAAGAAAATTCAAGATAGGAGGTCTTGGATTTGGATGCAAAATTTATTCGTTTGGCTGTATGACATTTTGGGATTATAGCTGATGTCGGTTCGTGATGAAAACCTCAACTGTAGTTCCTAACCTTAACTTCCGATTCTACGTCCCAATCTCAATTTCTTGCATTAATTTACAACCCACCCTCTTTAGACCCTAGTAGGGAGAATTTCCTTACAATCACTTTGGCGTCTCTCAAAGGTCATCCGTAAACTATAATTCCACCCATTCATCTATATTACTATCGTGCGTCCAATATTGTTGTTGGAACCATTTCCATCTTCTTGAAAATCCAGACAATTCTATATGTCGTCCATAACTTTACTATGATCTGCGTCAGACCCAGTTTTGATCCTTTATTTAGTATTAAATAATTACGATGTAATGCATTTTTTAGTATCAAATTTGAGTCATAACCATACAGTCCTGTCATCTGATGTACTTTATCTTTAACCTTCAGGTATAATAAACATGAGTTTTATTCACCTTTTTATTTCGGTAGGTCATCGATCGTATTTTGTATAAACTGGACGATCTTGTCCGCCCTTTTGTGCACAAAATTTTGGTTGTTATTGAACCTCTACTTATTGATGAAGATTATTACGCTCGTGTCGAGGGGCGTGAAATAATATCTAATCTCGCAAAAGTAAGTGAAAAAAGTATGCTTGTACATTGATTTCCCATATTAAGTGATAGTATGTTCAATTAATACAAAGGCAACTAAAAGTAATGAAGCCTCAAAAAAACGGCTGCAGAAGAAACAAAACTAACTTCACTTGTGTATGTACTGAGGTCCAATCTACGTCAATTAACCTATATGGTGATAGTCGTGCACTACGGATGAAAATGGCGATCATTTACTTGCAGATGCACCCGTCAACATATCTCCAAGGATTTTAATATCAAATGCTCGTTCCTTTTTAAAATTTCCCTCTTATAGTATGCATCATCAACCAAAATTCAAGTAACTTTTATTGGTGATAACAATATTCGAGGTGGGCCTAAGAAAAGCATAAAGTTCAAGAAGTGTAAAACTTGGTGTGGGTTTGTTGCAGCCGAAATTTCTCGTCACAGCCAAATCAAGACATAACCAGATGGAATTAAATCACAATTCTAATTGTAATTAAATAGGACAAAACAAATCACAATAGAGACACTGATTATTCCCGTATTAGTACGATAATATAAATACACATAATTCAGCATTGGTGTGGTCGTGCTCTTTTTAAATACCACAACTGTAGTGAAATTTATACATCAATCTATTTCATAAAAATTTAACGGGGATTGGATGTAAAGTTAATCTAATAAAAGCTATGTAACTCGTTTCCCGCTGTTAGCTGTAGGAAGTCTTTTCTAGTTTTGCTTTGTATTGTTTCGAAATTAAACTTTTGTTTGAATTAAATAAATCACCAAATTTAAATCAAAGTTTGCTATCTGAAAGGACATCTTCGTAAAACCGACAGATTATTTCGTTTTAATGTAATCCAACTCAATACCCAAGTACTCATTCATAGGACCGATTCTTAGACTTTCATTTCGTTACTAGTAACAATAACACGTTGCTTGATGAAATTCATGTTGCACATGCTTTTAAACCTAATGTAAGGCGAGCGCTAACTAACCTCTACTTGGTTAGTGCTGATAGTACGATAAGGGTGACAGTCATTTGTAAACTCGTTCCAAATTATATGTTCGTGACTTTCATGTATAATTATGAGTAACATTTTTTTAGTGAATAACCTGACATTTTACTATTTATATCAAATAGGCTGCCGGACTCGCTACTATGATTTCTACTATGCGTCCCGATATTGATAATATGGATGAATATGTGCGTAATACAACTGCAAGAGCGTTTGCTGTCGTTGCATCAGCTCTAGGAATCCCTAGTTTGTTGCCATTTTTAAAAGCCGTTTGCAAATCTAAAAAATCTTGGCAAGCTAGACATACTGGCATCAAGATTGTTCAACAAATATCCATCCTTATGGGTTGTGCAATTCTACCGCATTTACGATCTTTAGTGGAAATTATTGAACACGGGTTAGTTGATGAACAACAAAAAGTTCGCACCATTACAGCATTAGCTTTGGCCGCTCTTGCTGAAGCAGCCACTCCTTATGGCATAGAATCATTTGACTCAGTTTTGGAACCTTTGTGGCGTGGTATAAGAACTCATCGAGGCAAAGGTTTAGCCGCTTTCCTAAAAGCTATTGGCTACCTCATCCCCCTAATGGATGCAGAGTATGCCAATTATTATACACGTGAAGTTATGTTAATTTTAATCCGTGAGTTTCAGTCTCCTGATGAAGAAATGAAAAAAATTGTTCTTAAAGTAGTCAAGCAGTGCTGTGCAACAGACGGTGTCGAACCTGATTATATTAAGTCGGAAATTCTACCACCGTTTTTCCGTAGCTTTTGGACACAACGTATGGCTCTAGATCGGCGCAATTACAGACAGGTATTCTTTTTTACGTTTTTTGTTGTATTGTAATTTGATCTTGATGAATGCTAATTTTTTGACCTCATATCCACAAAAGAAAAGAACTTTTAACCTACCTAGTGCTTAACTCTATGTTCCCGATTCTCATTAATATTTGCTCGTACCAAGTTCACTAATCAGTCACAAACATTAAACTTGGCAAAAGTTCGCGTATACCCGCATTCTCACTTTTCATACCAGTATAGAGAGAAGTTAACAATATAAAGATTTTAAAAGTGAGATGATAATAGTATCAGTGAACGTGAAAGAAATCTAAGCTTGATGAATATAGACCATAAGAACAAATAAAAGTCGAGTTAAAAATGTATGGAATAATGTTGAAACCCAGGATATGGAAGTAGATAAAAGATTAATGCAACTGTACCAGTTTGACCGGTTTTCTGAAATGTCACTTAAAATTTCCAGTCATAGGTTATGATTATCACGTTGATCCTAACCAACTAGTCTATATCTCTTGACAAGGCTCAGGACACCAGACAATGATAAGAACTAATCCCATATCTTAGTACTAGGTGTACGTCTTTTTTGAATATAATTTATTAGGAAATTTATGCATTATATATGCAAAATATCCAAATAAAATAGCATGACTATAAGCTGTTTGTCGGCTAGAAAATGGGTAGTCAATAATAGAAAATCAAAGTCTCTAAACAACCAAAGATTATTCATTTGTGGCTCTCGATGCTGTATTATTTCTAACTTCAACAGAATAAAACTTTACACAATTATATTAGACAAAATTAACTATATATAGAGGTTGTGTAGCTTATAAACTGGTCAAATCAAAATTATATTTGGTGGTTTTCCAACACTTGTTGAACTTGTCAATCACAGATTTCGCTTAAGACACCAGCTTTCAAATTGCTAATAAGAAAAATTGACACAATTAACAGTTTAGACAACGGACTAAAATTGCTTAAAAAAGAAAGGTGATTTGTCATATTAAAGTCTAAGTATCATTGATCTTCATTCAGAAATTTTGCATAAGGTATTTACACTTAACAAATCTCATCGTAAGAACGCACGGAAACAGTTTATTTTTCCCATACAAGTAAATTTCACTTAATTATACAGCGAATTGTGATTTCATAACCTGTCTGATAATTTTGGGGGGTTCTGCAATTTTACTACTGTTGTCATTATATTGTGTCTCATAAATTTTCTGAAAAACAACTTGGATCAGTAACCATAGTCAAGTGACTTTAAACTGTTTATCATCTTCAAAGCCCTTTACACTTCAATTTATCCTAGATTTCGTAAATAAGGATTTTTTTTAGTTCCAGATCACTACTGAACTTATTTTTGAAGTCAATTAAATGTGTTATGCAATTGCTGATAGTAAAATCTTTTATGTGGAGTACGACGAAGAAAATCCCCAGACATGTGATATGCTAGTCGTATAGCCTCATCATAATTGAGTATAATATTTCTTTTTCTCACCGTTTTATTAAGAAGTAATTGTCACTCAGCTCATTATCAATTTTCGGTCACGAATTAAAATAGTTAGTTTGGTCTTATTACCTTGTACATAAGAAGATGCTTTATTTTCTCTCTTATTATTGTTAGCTGGTTGATACAACTGTGGAAATAGCAAATAAAGTCGGTGCAGCTGATATCATCTCTAGAATTGTAGATGACCTCAAAGATGAGTCCGAACCTTATCGTAAAATGGTGATGGAGACTATCGAAAAAGTTATGTCTGCACTAGGAAGCACAGAAGTTGATGCTCGACTTGAAGAGCAATTAATCGATGGTATATTATATGCTTTCCAGGAACAAAGTACCGAAGTGAGCTACTTGTAAATATTTCATATTTCCAATAAGTAAATTGTTCGTCACTCTTTTGGATTACTATTCATATGCTTTCCTTTTATAAATTCACTAACGTGAATTTAAAGTTTCTGAAGTATCCAGGGTTCAATGGAACTTCTGCTTGCTTTTATGCGTATAGTTTTAAATGAGTAGTATCTTAGTAGTCATTATCTCCAAATTTTTAAATAGGCGGTTTACAAATCGAATTAAACAGTATAAGGTCCTGCTGAGTTTACTAATTATGAACAATAGCCCAATTATCTAAACATTCGGTTTCCGTCTAATGAGTTGCCGGTCAGTATGAATCTTGTTTTATTGCCTGCTAGTTCAAATGCAAGTGCTAATGATGCTCCTCGTTCGTTGATTGACTTCTCTGTACTATTCATAGGGTGGTAGGCTTAGTCCTAAAATAGGTTCTTTAATCTCTGAAACGTTTTTAAAATGAAGGATATATGTTCAAGTTCCCTCAACTATACCAGCTTATTAAAACACCAAGCTGAATTCTTGTCGTTTGCTTGTTTTTAAGTGCATTAAGCCACATTTTCACACTATAGACTTATATGCATTCTTTTGATATCTTTTAATACTCAGGACGCTGTCATGTTGATTGGTTTTGGAACTATTGTACAATCACTTGGTAAACGTGTTAAGCCGTACTTGCCCCAAATATGTGGTACAATCTTATGGCGTCTTAATAACAAATCGGCTAAAGTTCGTCAGCAGGCAGCCGACCTTATTAGTCGTATCGCTGGTGTAATGAAAGTGTGTCAAGAAGAAAAACTAATGGGTCATTTGGGTGTAGTTTTATATGAATACCTTGGTGAAGAATATCCAGAAGTACTTGGAAGTATTTTGGGTGCCCTTAAGGCTATTGTAAATGTAATTGGTATGACCAAAATGACTCCTCCAATTAAAGAACTTCTGCCAAGATTGACACCAATATTGAAAAACAGGTTAGTTCTAAATGTTATTGTTCATTATCGCTAAATGGTATACAACATGGTCGTTTTCAGTTAGCTTACCACCGACTTATATTTTGATCATGGGTTTTACTGATGTTTTGTCGATATCTGAGGATTGCGACTTTAAACCTCTTTTCCATACATGCAATTAAAATAATGAATGGTACTATTTAAACTTGTACCAATCTAACTCGCTTTTTTATTCTCTGAAGAAGCGACTTACACTATGTCACGAAACATCAGAAATTCAGTTGTCTAGCTACTGAGGTATTACAAGTATATGATCAATTTTCTTATAAACAGTCATTCCACCCTACATTCAATAAGTTTGATATTATCTAGTTAAACCTTGGTAATGATACTCTTCTTGTTTTCTAGGCATGAAAAAGTAGAAGAAAACTGTATCGATCTTGTTGGACGAATAGCAGACCGTGGGTCGGAGTATGTCTCTTCTAGAGAATGGATGCGTATCTGCTTTGAACTCTTGGAATTATTAAAAGCACATAAAAAATCAATTCGACGAGCAACTGTCAACACTTTTGGTTATATTGCCAAAGCAATCGGTCCACATGATGTTTTAGCGACTCTGTTAAATAATTTAAAGGTGAGTTGTTTAGAGCTTATTTGTCAAAGCCAGTTACAGTCTATTTGTTGTTATCTTCTTCACTTTCATTTGTGTTTTCCATTTTAATATTCTTAATTTTTCTCTTCAGGTTCAAGAGCGTCAAAATCGTGTTTGCACAACTGTTGCCATTGCTATTGTTGCAGAGACATGTAGTCCATTTACTGTTTTACCTGGTCTTATGAATGAATATAGGGTCCCTGAACTAAATGTTCAAAATGGTGTTTTAAAATCACTGGCTTTCATGTTCGAGTATATTGGTGAAATGAGCAAAGACTACATATATGCCGTAACTCCTCTGTTAGAAGATGCACTAATGGACCGGTAACTAAAAATTCCTTAATATACTCTTTTTCTATGCGGTTTGCTAACCTAATGTATTTTTTCTTTTAGTGATCTTGTGCACAGACAAACTGCAATGACTGCAGTAGCTCATATGGCTCTTGGTGTATATGGGTTTGGGTGTGAAGATGCTCTTCTGCATCTCCTGAACGTCGTTTGGCCTAATGTCTTGGAAACTTCACCACATGTCATTCAGGCTTTCATGTTTTGCATTGAAGGTCTCCGTGTTGCACTTGGTCCTAACAAAGTACTTCAGTATTGTCTTCAAGTAAGTTCTGCCTAAATATGAGATATTTAAATCTGTTGGAAAAAGTTTTTATTAGAGAATCTTCATTGAGTTTTCCTATTTCTAGCTAAGGTATTGGAAACAATTAGTCTTTAATTATTTTTTTTGCACTTACACTTACCAAGAAAGAGATAAACATTTGCATAAGTGTTTTGAATATCTTTGTCCTATCGCTTCTGAATAAGGCTATATTCTCCTTCAAACAAAAACTACATGGTGTGCAGAAAATCACCCTTTTGAATTAAAAAAAGATCTTTCACAACTGTTAAAAAACAATCATACATAAGTCGAAACAAATGTTATATTTTTACCATGATTACGAAAACGATAAACGGTCCCTAAAATCAATTTCCTCCAACTTTTAAGCTTTTCTTATCAGCTTGGTTGAATAAATAGTGAAAACTTTCGATCCACACATATCATACGCTATTCTTCTTTTTGAAAAATATATTGTTTATTTTTAACAGGATATTTTACATATTTTTGTGTTTTTCGTTCCTCTCAGGGCTTATTCCATCCTGCTAGGAAAGTGAGAGATATGATGTGGAAAGTGTACAATACTATTTACATTGGTAATCAAGATGGCTTAGTTTATGGTTTCCCACGTATTCCTGACGAACAAGATCACACTTATATCCGACATGAATTGTCTTATATTTTGTGAAAATGTATTTGCCAGTATGATCACAATCCTATTTACTTCTTATTTTCACTCCCAGACTTTTATGTTTTGTTACTATTGCATTCTTGTCCTTCAAATAAGTTCCTGATATCAGGATCTATTAACTCCTACGGTTTTACACATCGTTGTGGTCTTGTATTTAAACTAATTTTTTTCGGATTAATAAATCAGTTAAATTGACTCATGTGCTTTATAATATTCTGTTCAGATGGGTGATGTGAGTGAATTTCCAACTTCATAATTTAGAAGTTAATGCCACAAAGGTTCCCTATGCTATTAAATCGTTAATCTTTCAAAAGTAGGGATAGGAGCGATCCGAAAACTAATCGATCTCATGTTAAATTTGACGAAGCCACCGTTTTATCTACTAAATTATTAATAATAAACGCCAATTTTCGGCGTCACCAATTTCGAGACTTACTATCCAGAGTCTCTAGTTATCATATACGCTTTTCGTGTGAGCCCTACTCAGAAAGTTTGGACCTCCTGTGACAATTAAGTTTTAAATCCACAAACTTACCTCTGTTATTTGAAAATGAGTTTGTTGATCGTCGAAACAATAGGCTTACCAATAAGTCACGCACTTCTACTTCATAGCTAGTTAATTTAAATGTGATGTATTTGAATTCAAGTTGTAAGAAGAGGTTGGTAGGTAGCTTGCTGTCAATAAATTTGGTACAGAGAATTGTAGTCGGTAGGTCCTGGGTTCGAGCCCCGCGTGGTGCGGGATCGTGGATGCGCACTGCTGAGGAGTCCCATATCAGGACGAAACGGCCGTCCAGTGCTTCCAGGTTTTCAATGGTGGTCTAGCTTCAACTGACTCATGATTTCAACCTGTGAACTTTCTAAAACTCTCCACAAAACCCACTGAGAATTGTAGTCATTTAGTCGGTGGTAAAGCTCACTAGATTGTATTTTCTTGGGATGTAAATGAAAGTATACTCTCTAAGTGCGATTGAATCTTATAGTTCATTGACAAAAATTGTACTTTTACACCTAAAGGATTATTGTTGTCTGGGTCCTAGGGTTTAGTACAAAATCAGTTAATCCTTCAGGATGTTCGGACTAAGGCATATGAAACATGTTTTCTAGATTGATAAATGAATCCTGTATTCTTGAATATTGGTCATCGAGTCATCTTTAAGTGAAACTCGAACTAACAGTCTTATTTTACCTTTGCTTCATACAGGTTCGTACTTTTCTGTTGATTATAAAATCATACTCGTAAAAACATTTTAAAAAACGGAGTGGTTACTCATCTTAAGTCTTATAGTATTTAAGTGTGGCAGTCATGTTGGTTAGTTGTATAGGTGGTGAAGTTGGTTGACCTGACAGAAAGGTAACTAACATAATCACAATCCTTTTTGAATGAGATCAGTTCCTGTGGTCAATCTAGGAAATATATATTCTGCTACCCAATATTCTTTGGAAACAATGCTTCACGTGACTGGTCCTTTATCAGGACAAAAATCGTAAGTGGACAAAAAAGATATTCCAAAAATCTGAACGGCAAAAAACTGCATACACAGGAGTGTCTTATTAATCTATCCGCTAGCACTGGATCAATGAGCTATCACCAACAGCCTGAAAAAAATTTGCACACAACTCTAAAACTAATTAATCAGTTAGTAAATACTCTAAATTAACTTGTCCATTTTAGGTTTTCTCAAGGCTAAGTAAGTTTATATCTCATCATTCTTTCGAAACTCAGTGGCAAATAAATATGTGCTATTTACCAAATTTCAAAATGATTACTTACGCCTGTTACTCCTCGTGAAGGAGCATAGGCCGCTCACCAGCATTCTCCATCCAACCCTGTCCTGAGCAATCCTTTCCAGCTCCTTCCAGTCATTATTCATCCTTTTCATATCTGTTTCTATTTCCCGACATAATGTGTTCTTTGGCCTTCCTCTTTTCCACTTCCCTTCAGGATTCCAAGTTAGGGCTTGCCTAGTGATGCAGTTTGATGATTTGCGTAATGTGTGTCCTATCCATTTCCATCGTCTTTTCCTGACTTCTTCTTCAGCTGGAAGCTGGTTTGTTCTCTCCCAGAGAAGGCTGTTGTTGATGGTATCCGGCCAATGAATGTTGAGTGTCTTGCATAGACAGCTATTTATAAATACTTGTACCTTCTTGATGGTGGTTGTTGTAGTTCTCCAAGTTTCAGCTCCGAACAGTAGAACTAACTGTGTTGACGTTCGCATTGAAGACTCTCACTTTGATATTGGTTGAAATTTATTTTGAGTTCCATATGTTCTTCAATTGTAGGAATGCGACCCTTGCTTTGTCATGCCTTGAATTTACGTCTGCATCTGAACCTCGTTGTTCATGGATGATGCTTCCCATGTATGTGAAGGATTCTACATCTTCCAGAGTTTTACCATCAAGAGTGATTGGATTGCTGTTCTCCGTTTTGAATATGAGGACCTTGGTTTTCCCTTTGTGTATGCTGAGGCCTACTGATGCAGAGACTGCTGCTACACTGGCTGTCTTTTTCTGCATCTGTTCGTGTGTATGTGATAGGAGGGCCAGGTCATCTGCGAAGTCTGAATCGTCAAATTAATTCTGAGCTGTCCATTGTATTCCGTGTTTTCCTTCAGATGTCGAGGTCTTCATAATCCAGTCGACCACCAGAAGAAAGAGGAAGGGAGAGAGTAAATAGCCTTGTCTGACTCCGGTCTTTACTTGGAATGCATCGGTCAGCTGTCCTCCATGCACGACTTTGCATTGTAGTCCGTCGTATGAGTTCCGGATAATATTGACAATCTTCTCAGGAACTCCGTAGTGTCGAAGGAGTTTCCATAACATCCTCCTATCTACACTGTCAAATGCCTTTCCATAATCAATAAAGTTGATGTACAGTGACGAGTTCCACTCAACTGATTGTTCAACGATGATCCGTAGTGTTGTAAACTGGTCTGTGCACGACCGATCCTTACGGAATCCAGCCTGATGATTTTGAAGTTGGGCGACTACTGCATCTTTCATCTGGTTCAACAAAACTCTGTTAAAGACTTTCCATGTTACTGACAGTAGTGTAATGCCTCTGTAGTTTTCACGTTTGCTCAGGTCTCCTTTCTCTGGAATCTTGATGAGGTTTCCTTCTTTCCAGTCTATCGGCACTTGTTCCTCCTCCCAAATCTTTTTGAATAGAAGGTGAAGCATGTTTGTAGTTACTTCGATATCTTCATATCCGCTGTTATCTATCCCGACTTTGGCATTTAAATCTCCCATCAGAATGGTGAGGTCTTTTCTTGGGCATTTCTCTATGATTGACTGTAGCCTCTCATAGAACTGATCTTTGATGTCGTCGTTGCTATCATTGGTGTATGCATAACATTGAGTAATATTCATTAAGATCCCCTCCTTCTTTGTTTTGAATAATGCTTTGATGATTCAGGATCCGTGAGATTCCCAACCTACAAGTGCATTTTGTGCTACATTGGACAGCATTAGAGCAACTTCCTGAGTGTGTGGAGCATTTTCCTCTTCGTGACCGGAGTATAGCAGCATCTCTCCCGTATTTAGTCTTTGTTGTCCAGCTTGGGTCCAATGGGTTTCGCCGATTCCCAGTACTGCCAATTTGTATCTCCTCATTTCCGTTGCCATTTGACTGTTCTTCCCGGTCTCCCACATTGTTCGAACGTTCCACGTACCTAGAAAACGTTTTGCTCTGGTTGTTAGAAGGGGCATCGGCCTCGTGAATTCCGAAGGAACTCGACTTTCACCATGAGGCGTCATAATTCTTCTAAATGAAGACCTTCAAACTTCTAGGACAGAGTTAAAATGGTTTGAATTATTTTTTTCTGGTAAGCGTTTTTTTAGCGAGTTAGTTTTCCACGGGATGGGGTCGCTAACCCCATGCCCAAGCCTCCTACTTCATCCGGTCTTGGGACCGGTAGTAACTCTAGACGAGCTACAGGCGGAGTTTTCCAAGTGGTGTTATAAGTTAATTTATGTATTCCACAGTCATGCAAGGAGTTAGTTGTTGTCTACATAGGTCAGTCATAGCTCCTTCAAATAGAATCCGTCTGGTCACTTTGAGTTGGATTAGTTTCCACTACAATCTGGACACACGTCCATGACGAACCTGAGCAAACACTAAGGAAAGATCAATGACTTCCTTATGTTTAAAATGAAATACACAACATTGATTGGTTATTGTGTGGACAAAAAATTTAAAAGTAGGATTACTTCTTAATGTTTAAGAATCACATTTTTAAGAGTAATACAACCTGAGTAAAGATATTAGAAAAAAAATCATTAGATGAATATTGTTATTCTATTTACTGTTTTGTACAGTCACAACATCTTGTATGGACTAATGATTGTCAAAATTCAGGACAGAAAGTCTTTCTGAATACACGTACATTTGTATCTAATTCTTAAAACACGGACTACTTTTTATTTCGATTTCTATCAGCTTTCTTCGAGTTAAATGACTGGAGCTTAGTTCCTGTTAATATTTGTAAGTAAGAATACATTACCTGGAAATTGTTACCAAATTTTCTCACGATATCTTGGAATAACTGTTATCTCAATGAATGACAATTTTGATTCAAGTGTGCACAACTCAAAACCGCACAATATTAAGTCATCTTTCACTGAGACTGCACAAGTGAAGTGTGTATTCATAAGTGGAACAATAAATCATAAAATTACATTCTTTTTCTTATCAAAATATTTTTCTAAATGAGAAGTTTGAGTGACTAACATTAGTTCGAATAATCCAAATAATTACTCTTTCATCTACAGTTCAGCTTAGGTTCCAGACCTTAGCTGCTACCTTGACGCGGTGGTCGGGCTTGCCTATCGTCATGATCCAACTGAGCTATATTGGCTGGAACATGTGTTCCTGTAAGTTTTACCATGCCAGGATGTTTGATTGGAGAACAGTAAGACTAAAAGCAGCAACTCAAGGTCTGAGGGCGAAGTCGTACTGCTGACTATACAGAGGTGTGACAGCAGTAGGGTGTTTCCCTCGGACAACCAGCATCTGCAGCGATGCTGCCTTCCCACAAGGAAGGAAGGGGTTGGAAAAGGTTGACCCTAAAAATTTCAAACCTCGCGGATTTCCGTCTCCGGCGGTAAGGCTCTTTGAAGAACGGAGCTAACACATTAAAAACCTCCCACAAAAAGGCCGTGCGCGACCGGCTTCGAGTAGTTGTCCCTTGGGCT